TTTGTCGCGTGCCTTTCACTAAGCATTAAGTCCGCACTGTCGGACTCAACTAGTGCGGACTCATTAGTATGGAGACTCATCTAGTCTCCACTCAGAGAGGAGACCTAGTCAGCTGGTGTATATGACAGCCTTTCTCTCTTCTGCTCGGCACCCCTTTACCTTTTTTTTTTTTAAGATTATTTATTTATTTATTTGAGAGAGTGAGCAAGAGAGCACGAGCAGGTGGAGGGTTAGAAGGAGAGGGAGAAGCAGACTCCACACTGAGCAGGGAGCCCAACACGGGGCTCAATCCTAGGACCCCAGAATCATGACCCGAGCCAAAGGCAGACACCTAACCGACTGAGCCACCCAGGTGCCCCAACACCTTAACCATTTTTTAGCATGCAGTTTAGTAGTGTTAAATATATTAACATATATAGAAACCAATCTCTAGAACTTTTTCAGTTTGTAAAAACTAAACCTTTACATCCATTACACAGAATTTACCCTGTCCCCCGTTCCCTAATAACCACCTTTGTGCTTTTACTTTCTATAAGTTTGACTACTCTAGATACCTCATATAAGTGGAATCATAGTCTTTTTGTGACCATCAGCATAATGTCCTCAATGTTGTTGTTGACACATGTTGAAATATGTTGTCTTTAAGATTGTTGAAGACGTGTAGTGTGCCTCAGAATTTCCTTCAAGACTGAAGAGTATTCCATTTTATGTATATGCCACATTTTGTTTCTCCATTTCTCTGTTGAGTATTTCATTTCTTCTGTTTTTTTTTTTTTTTTTACTATTGCAAATAATGCCTTTGTGAACATGATTGTACAAATACCTCTTTGAGAGCCTGCTTTCAGTTCTTTTGGATACCTACCCAGAAGTGGAATCACTGGATCATTGGATAATTCCATTTTTAATTTTTGAGGCACCGCCATGCTGTTTTCCTTTGTGGCTGCACCATTTTAAATTCCTACCAACATTACACAAGGGTTCCAGTATCTCTACATCCTCACCACACCTGTCATTTTCTGGTTTTTGTTTTGTTTTGGAGAGTAACCATCCTGATGAGTGTGGAGGGACATCTCATTTTGATTTTGCATTTCACTAATGGTTAGTGATTGAGCATCTTTTCATATGCTTATTGGCCATCTGTATATCTTCTTTGGAGAAATGATAGTCCTTTGCTCATGTCCAAATTGGGTTGTTATTGTTGTTATTTTGAGTTGTAGAGGTTCTTGGTAAATTCTGGAAATTACCTTCTTATCACATAATGCATTGCAAATATTTTCTCCAGACGTTGCCTTTTCACTCTGTTGATTGTATCCTTTGATGTGCAGAAGTTTTAAATTTTGGTAACATCCAACTTACCTGTTTTTACTTTTGTTGTCTTTGTTTTTTGGTGTCATATCAAGATATCATTGTCAAACCCAATGTTATGAAGCTTTCCTCTTAAGTCATTTTGTAAGAGTTTTATGTCTTACATTTAGGGTTTTGGTTCATTTTAAAAGTTTCTTATTTTGATGAAACCCAATATCTACTTTTTCTTTGTTGCTTGTCTCTTTTGTTGCTTTGGAGTCGTGTCTAAGAATCTATGACTAAATCCAAGGTTTACCTCTGTTTTCTTCCAGGAGCTTTGTGGTTTTACCTTAGATCATTTATCTGGTCTGAGTTAACTTTTGTATATGGGGTGAGGTAGAGTTCCAGCTTCATTCTTTATATGAGGAAATTCAGTTGTCTCTGCATCATTTGTTGAGGAAACTGTTCTTTCCCTTTTGAATGGGTTTGGCACTTTTGCCAAAAATCGGCAGGACATAGATGTATGGGTTTATTTGTGGAAACTCAGTTCTAGTCAGCTGGTGTATATGACAGCCTTTCTCTCTTCTGCTCCCATGTTGGCAACTCACTGATGTTTCTTGTGTACTGTGATCTTTGAGTTGGGGATCATGTTTGGGACAAATGGGAGTAGCTTTCAACCTTATCTTTTTCCAGTTGAAGGCAGATGTCCTGATTGACAAAAGCCAGATGCTCTAGTTCATTTGATGTTTTCAGGTCACATTGATAAAGCAAGTGAGGGGTTTAGTGGAGATTGTTCTTTTGCCCAGATACACACTAGCCGGGCCAGACTCCTTAGTGTGGGAAAGTGGGGGTGGTGTGGTGGGTGAGTAAAGGGCTGCACTTCGCCTGAAGAACTGTCTGCATTTGGCTCCTGTCACCTCTTACTTAGGTTGTGGCAGTCCAGGCTACCTGTCATATGTATGTGCTGATTCTGTTTGTAGAGAACTTTGGCTCTAAGAAAGGTAGTGTAAGTAGTACAGTGGTTAGTCACGTACACTCTGGAGGTAAGCGATTGTCTGGATGGAATACCAGCTTAGGCACTTAGTAACTGTGCGAGATGGGCAAGTTACTTGAATTCTCTGCATCTGAGTTTTGTCACCCACAAAATGGGAATAATAATAGTTTCTATCTCAAAGAATTCAGTGAAGATAAAATGGTAGGATTTGTGATGTGCTTTCATCAGGTCTTGGCATGGTATCTGTTGTTGCTTCTGCTGCTATTTTAAGATAGTTTTTGCCTATGTATAGCTTAGGATCTTTTCTGGTAGACTGTCCCTAACCTGTGTCATTGTTCTTTAGAGTGTTTATTTCTATTTAAAATTTTAACATTCCATGAAACAAGAACAGGGATAGTATCCTCTGTTGATACCATTGCCCCCAGCATTTAACTGACATAATGGGACTCAACAAACATATGTTGAGTGAATTAACCACTTGGAATTGAATATTTTCATTCTTTTTTATTACTGTTACTTCATTTTGTAGTTAAGTCCATATATTATATAAAACAGAACAGGAAAAATGAACAAATTTATAAAATAAATTGAAGTGTCTGGATGAAAAAAATACAAGAGCTTTGCCTTCTTGTCTACAGATCTCTTGATATGTTGTTGGTCTTGCACTTTAGATATCAAATAGAGATATCTAGCTTGAAAGAAAAGTAGATATGCTGCAAGGTTAAGCCATAGTTAGTTTGCTGGTGGGCCAGGAAATGATAGATTTTCTAAATCTTATCCTTAAATATTGGCTGTAACAAATGCTGATATAGCAAAATGCAAGCTTTTATCATCAGACAGCAAGACGGAAACTTGAATTAATGAATGCAACTTACCTCCAAGTCCTCTGAAAGGAGGTGAAAAAAATAAATACTGTATTTTACTAGTGTTCCCCCAAAAGCATTACTCTAAGCATGCAGGAGGATGCTGTGAGCAGCTACAACAGTAAGATCCAATCCAGAGGTAGGTTCAAGACCAAGAGTAGGAGAGTGACTGAAGAAATCCTCCTGGAGCCAGTACCATTTCAAAGAATGACCATTTGTGCTGGGGAATGAGTCTATGGCCTATCTTTTTCTGACTCAAAAGGACACTCCTAATTTTAACCTTGCTGAAAACAGGCATTTTTGTACCTGCTATTAAGAACAGCTAGTATACAGGATAAGGCTGGCATAAAATTATTTAGCAAACACATGCTAGCTATTCCAGTTTGAAATCTACCAAACTATAGAGTCAAGGGGGAAATAAAAAGTTGAAGATGGAGCTGTTGTTCCTCAAGATGAGGGGAAAATGTCTTACCAAAAGAGGGATTAGGCACTCACTTAACTCTATATGGAGAACATCTTTCTCAGGCTAGGTAGAAGATGAGGAAGAGCATTACCAAAGGCTGACCAGGACACTGGGAGACCAAAAGGAGAGGGAAAAGGGCATTTAGGAAGAAAGCTAGAAGAAAATCTTCTGGGTCTGACTAGGTAAGTGAATCTAAGGCAAATGCACCAAAGATATGCTACCCCTATGCCAACATGGAGCTGGTGGCAAAATATCTCAAGACATTTTAAACCCAGAGAAATGTATAAAAAATATGTTAACAAAGCAAATTAAAACCAAACTTCCAAGGGTAAAATCTCCTCAGATCTGAAATCCAAGATACTCACTTTTCATTAATTCTGTGCATTAGAAAAAAATTAAAAATAACAAATGTAAAGATTTGTTTTATTTTCTACTGGGGAAAGAAGGAGGATAAATAGAACTGTTTTCCAATTTGCTCTCCACTGTATACACACATACCCACACACATACATACACATACACACACCAAAAATACCCCAACGAAAAAACAAAACAGAAAACTGAGACTCAAACACCAGAACACCCTCAAACTGCACCAATACTTCGTATTTTGACCGAAAGAATAGATCCTGGGAGGAAGTGCAAAATGCAAAATCAAATGACCGAAAAATGCTGAACAAACAGCATTATTAATATACAAAATATTTATATTACTGAACTAGTAACAGTTGATATTCTCCATGTCTGTAAAACTTTGGAACCACATAGCTGATTTGTTAAATCTAGTCCATGCCAGCTTCCAAACTCCAGAAAAACTTTTAGTTAGCTTCATTCTTTGATGCCTCATCAAAATTTTCTACGAGATCTGGAACATCATCATCCTCTTCATCAATGTCTTCTGGTTTTGGTGCTTTGCTCTCCAACACTTGCCGAGGGAACTGTTCAGCTAACTTCCTAAGACTTGTTAAACTGTCAGCACCAAGCTGACTTAATATTCCCGGAAGCATTTCTGTGATTGGTTTGGCTTCTGCATGACCAGTAGTTGCAAAGGTGTTAGCAGAAAGGGAAGCTTGGACTTTGGGATTGTTGAAATGAATAACTGTCCCCTCATCTTTAATCATGTTCACCTCTTCAATACCAGCTGTATTATTCACAGCCAGTTTTTTTAGAGAACTCTGAAGTTTTTTGTCATCAGCCGTAGCTGTTCTATGTACCACCTTCTTCTTTCTGCGAGCTGTACCCTTGCCCCCTATCCGGACCTGAGCCTGAAGTTTGGCTAACTTTTCTTGATTCATGCTGTTGGTAAATCTGAAGCAGGGAGGGTCCTCCAACAACAGCATGCGGCAAGAGCAAGATGGCTGCCTCAGTCGAGACAGGGAAAGACGAGGGCAGCGGCGGCGGCGGGAGCGGGGCCCACGTGACACAACCGGCTCCGCCTCTCTCTCTCTCACCAGAGCAGCCTATCACGGGGAACGCATATACGAACTACAAAACCCAGCCTGCTCTGCGCCTCCCAATAGAAATGCGGCAGGTGCAGGTGGCCGCACTGCATTCTGGAGCTTGCAGTCTCCTGAGAATTCCATTGTGTCTGTGCCTACAAATTTGTAGGGATCCTAATAAAAAAGAGGTGTGTATTTTTGTTTGGTTGTGTACTTTTGTCGCGTGCCTTTCACTAAGCATTAACTCCGCACTGTCGGACTCAACTAGTGCGGACACATTAGTATGGAGACTCATCTAGTCTCCACTCAGAGAGGAGACGGGAAATTTTGACCTGTTATGTTGTTTAAAGAAAAAAATTGAGAAAGAAATATTCAACCCACAAAGTTTAAAAAGAACAAGGCAAGTAGATTTAACCAGAAGAAGCTTTACGCTTTAAATGCCTGCAGTGACTTTTGTCCTGGTTCCCTGAAGAGCTAGGTCAGTTTTGCAGTAAGAGATCCGAAGTTCGGTTTTCTCGGAGCTTGCATCAGTTGGTTGCATCATCCCCGAGTGGAAGAACTGCTGCTGCAAGGAAAACTAAGGTCCAGCGCTGCTTCTCCAGCAGGAAGAGGGCATTCTTGTAAGGCTCGAGACCATGCACTGCAGAACAGATTTGCCAGGTCTCCTCGTGGCCCCGGAAGGAACTTAAGAGTGAAATCTGGTTGTCCAGTCTTTTTTTATTTGCGGAGCAAGAAAGGAGAGGCCAATGGCGACGCGCCCACTGTTGGGAGCCAATTACTTCACCGATCAATAATTTGCGTTGTGAATATTAAGTGCAGCGGTTCTTGCGGGGAGGGGCTCGCTTGCAGGCAGACGCAACCAGCAACGGTTCTCCAGAGGCCTCTCCCCACCCCCTACCCTCGCTATCTCATCCACCTTTTCCATCTCGGTCTTCCGATTGAACACCCAGAATCGAAGGGAAGCAGCTCGCGCTGGAGAGCAATTCCCGCACCCTTCTACATGATCTGCACCTTTAAACTTACTCCATCTCAAACCGGACCCCGGAGGCACCACTGAATATTTTCATTCTTAAAGAAGATTGATAGAAATATTTACAAAAGCAGTCCTTGGCATCTTGGTTTGCTTTCAGTCGGTGGTGGTTGGTAAATTATAGAGTTTGAAAAGTTGAGTTAAGGGGCGCCTGGCTGGCTCAGTTGGTTAAGCGACTGCCTTCGGCTCAGGTCATGATCCTGGAGTCCCGGGATCCAGTCCCGCATCGGGCTCCCTGCTCGGCAGGGAGTCTGCTTCTCCCTCTGACCCCCTTCCCTCTCATGCTCTCTGTCTCTCATTCTCTCTCTCTCTCTCTCTCTCAAATAAATAAATAAATAAATCTTTAAAAAAAAAAAAGTTGCGTTAAAAGCAGTTATCTTACAAATGTTTAATGAATGCTTAGTCTCTCCAACATCATAGTCATTGCATTTATTCAACTATTTAATGCAGTGCTGAGAAAATTTTCATAATTTTTATGGAAAAGTTATTTCATCTAAAGAAGCGGTAAAATTGTTTTTCCTACTGGCTTTCCAGTATTAGGAGGATGAAAGCAAAACCTTCAGGTATAATCATTTATTTGTTTTAAAACTATTTGTGTTTTTCATCTTTGTGTTTATATTTTAAAAGATTTCTGATAAAGAATTTATTTTTGTTGGAGCATTTTACTAGCCAGATAAATACAAATGCTATAGGCAAGAAGTACTAAATGTCTGAATTATTAAAATGCTAAGAGCTTATAGTGAAACATACTTCTCATAAATGTCTTCAGTAGTACTGCAGAGATGTCTTTGAATCTTATGGCAGTACATTCCAACTGTGGAGTACCAGTTTTCAATCAAAATGTATTTTAAAATAATTTTTCTGCTTAGAAGTACAATAGAGCCAACAGTTTACAGTTACAGCCTTAGTTGCTTAGCTTACCCATAAAAATCAAACTCAAATATTTCATTTTTAGTAGCTTAACATTGTTCATGGTGTAATGATACACTTGATGATAAAGGGATTTTTTATTGCACATAATAGGAAATACAAGAATTGTGTGCTTATTTTAGCAGTTTAATATCACCAAAGACCTAGTGGGCTCATTACATTCATATGCTCTGCTCTTCCCAGGGTGCTAGTTTTTGGTCTTTAGGATTGACCACACATGGTCTCAAGTTGGCTGACGTTGCTAAGTATCACATGCTTACACAACAGTGCCCTCACACTGGAAACAGTAATGTTTTGATATTGTCCCTAGAAGAATGAAGGAAAGTCCATAAACCCTCCCACATATTTCCCCTCATATCTCCCTGGCCATAATTGGGTCATGTGGTTCATTCCTATGTTTGTTTGTTTTTTTTAAGACTTTATTTATTTGACAGAGAGGGACACAGTGAGAGAAGGAACACAAGCAGGGGGGAGTGGGAGAGGGAGAAGCAGGCTTCCTGCTTGAGCAGAGAGCCCAATATGGGGCTGGATTCCAGGACCCTGGGATCATGACCTGAGCTGAAGGTAGACGCTTAACGACTGAGCCACCCAGGTGTCCCTACTCCATCAGATCCTTAACAGAAAAATGTTTCCTGGCCCCAGTGTGAGTAAGTGGAATACAAAGGGGAGTTCATAAATATCAGCAACCTGATAAAATAACTGAGAAGCTGCTGACATTCCTTAACTACCCTGAGCAGAGGTGGGTCCTTCCCTACCAAATCCCTGTAGCCTCTTTTCCACATATAACTAGTCTGTCTCCAATACTACACAACACCTCTCAAAGGCAAGGATCTCCATAGTATTTCTCTAAATGTACCCTGAACTCTGAAGATAACAGGCTTTTGTGACAGAATAAGTTGACTTTCCATACCACCCAGGACATTTGCAAATAAATTCCCAACGGTGTTCATGTTTCAGCAACTGTGTGCATAAAGAGACTGTAGTCACCTCTGACACTGCAGGCTTGAGAACTCTTCAGGTCCAGAAGTTGAATCTTGACAAGCCAACTTGACCAGGATAATTCAATGACTTAAAATAGGAATGAACCGGGGCGCCTGGGTGGCTCCGTCATTAAGCGTCTGCCTTCAGCTCAGGTCATGATCCCAGGGTCCTGGGATTGAGCCCTGCATCGGGCTCCTTGCTTGGCAGGGAGTCTGCTTCTCCCTCTGCCTGCTGCTCCCCCTGCTTGTGCTCTCTCTCTCTCTGACAGATAAATAAAATACTAAAAAAAAATTTTAGAGTAGTTTAGACTCAGAGAACAATTGCAAAGATTGTATAGAGTGGTTTCATAAACCCCACACCCGTTTCCTTCTATTATTAGCATCTTACATTAGTGTGGTATATTTGTCAAAATTAATGAACCAGTGTCCATACTTTACCATCATCTAAAGTCTACATTTCATTCACATTTTGCTAGTTTTTACTGAATGCCCATTTTCTGTTCCAGTATTTCTTTACATTTAGTTGTCATGTCTCCTTCAGTTCTTCTGGGCTGTGATAGTTTCTCTGACTTTCCTTGTTTTTGATGACCTTCACAGTTTTCATGAGTCCTGGTTAGATATTTTGTAGAATGTCCCTCAGGTGGGATTCATCTAATGTTTTCCTCAATATTAGGGTGAGATTATGGGTTTGGGGGAGGAAGCCCACAAAAGTGCAGTGCCATTTTCATTACATCAAGTCAAGGATACAAATCACTGTTGCTGTTTGTCACCTTCTTTATAAAGTTACTCTTTTCCCCTCTTTCTATGCTGTGCTCTTTGGAAGAGAGTGTGTGCAGCCCACATTTGAAGAATGGGAAGTTATGCTTCACTTATCTTGAGTACAAAGTACCTATGTAAATTATTTGGAATTCCTCTGCACAGGAGATTTGTCTGTTCTCCCCCTTTTGTTTACTACATCATCTTATTAGTATAAACTTAGAAATATTTATTTTATAATTTGGGTTATAATCCAATACTGCTTTGCTTATATTGTTCCAGCTTTAGCCATTGGGAGCTCTTTGACATATCCCCATGTTTTTGTCATTGTGTTAGGTTTTGTTTATTTGTTGTTTTTTGTTGTTGTTTTAGCACTTATATTCTGGCACTACAAGATGCTCCAGGTTCCTCTTGTCTATTTCCTGCCTTAGTCCTAGAATTAGTCATTTCTCCAAGGAGCCCTGGCTCCTTTTGTTGGAAAATTGTATTTGAAACCAAGACCTGAGTACCAGATACTTAAAGTGCTGTTGGGCTGCCACGGTGTCATTACTTCTAGGTTCTCAGGTGACAGGTCAAGGAAAATATATGTGTGTATATTAGCCTGTGTGTATATATATATCTATAAATATTTCTGTATGTGGTCGCCTGTATCCTTGTAAAGCTAGAATGAGGTCATAATGATACCCAAATCTAATCTGTTAGCACATGGCTCATCCTGTCTCTCCCCCCTTGTTTGTTTATAACCTTCCACTGGGGCGGTGAAAAAAGTAACTCCCACCATTTGTCATCCGTTTACTTAATTGTTCAGTTCCAGGACACTGGTTTCAGAATTGTTATCTGTACCATTGTGGGGAACATATTTATCAATTAGAGTACAGTGCTTATGTGAGGTTCCTTTTGCCTTCAGTCTTGCAGACTACTCATTCCTAATGTTAGTTAGATCACTAACTTTCCCCCCATTCTCTTCAGTGAAGTTGAGTCATGCATTCTTTTTTTTTTTTTTTTTTAAGATTTTATTTATTTATTTGACAGAGAGACGGCGAGAGAGGGAACACAAGCAGGGGGAGTGGGAGAGGGAGAAGCAGTCTTCCCGCTGAGCAGGGAGCCCAATGTGGGACTTGATCCCAGGACCCTGGGATCATGACCTGAGCCAAAGGCAGATGTTTAACAACTGAGCCACCCAGGTGCCCTGAGTCATGCATTCTTAATACAGTTAGCTCTTTG